TTGTCAAAATTGTGATTTAGTATTTGGGGATTTTATTTCTTCAACAAGTTTAATTTATCTGAGCTATATTTGTGTTAATAATTTGTGAATAAAAATGAGCAAAACTCACAAGCTTTTTTTGTTTCAAGTGATTAAAAAGTGTTTGGTCGAATCAGTAGTGGTGCTTACATAATTACATTCAATTCATTGTATATTGGTGCTTATGAATGGATCTTTTGACTATTGTTTGATTAATTTCAAAATGCTTATTTAGTGGTCCCATTTGGAAGATTTCTTGAAGTTGGTATAGAATCGGTGGAAAGTGATAGTATGCATGTGTCCAATTCACGTATATGGTCAAAATATTATTCTTGAAATTTCAAAAGGTTAGACGGAAATTTTGAAAAGAAATGATGAAATCGATTTACAGAATGATTGTGGTGCAACCTCAAATGATGATATGGTTAAAAGATTGAACATAATCAATAACCTGGTTGAGATAGACAAAAGAAGCATCACTGATATCAAATAAAAGGCGAAAAAGTAAATGACGTGCGGAGGAGGATGATAATTCTAAGTTTTACCATGGTAAATTTGAGAAGTAAAAGTTTATGGTTGGCAATAGCAAATTATGTTGCTATTCCTTCTTTTTATTAAAATAATTACATTTTTTTACATGTAATAGCAATTTACTCACAATTTGTTGGACATAATAGGAATGTATCAACATTTCTTTAGCAATAATGACAATCTAACATCAAATTTTTAAGCATTTTAGAGTTTCAAGTTATATATAGCTATTATTCCCTTATTTTAATTTATAATAAGAACATAACAAAAAGAATATACGTATATAAAACAACTTACAACTCCTTTAACCTTCATGATCCTGTTTACAATCTACTCACTCAACTACCATCTCAAATAACATCATCTCTAAAATTAACAAAACTCGATGCAAAAAGGGAAACCCTAAAGATAACATAACATGAATGTTACATGTAATGAAAACATCATCAAATATTCAAATCCACTCCTTGGGGTTAATACAAGCATCCAAAAGTTTCCATTCTTCACTCCCCTCTTCTGGTTTCTGTGCATAGAAAATTATCCCAACATTATAATTTTTCGGTTCTCAAATTATATAAAAACAATAAAAGAGATTAATGAAAAAAAAAACTTACATGGTCGTATTCCCATCGGGCTGTTAGTGGAAGAGAGACAAGAATGCTTTCAATCCGACCTCCGGTTTTGAGACCAAATGTTGTTCCTCGGTCGTACACCTTCATTATGTTATTAATTTAGCTACTAAATTAATATTTTTTTAAACTAATATTATCTTTATGATTATCGACATTGATCAAGTGTTTTTACTTTTTAACAATCACTTAAATCAGTAGTAACAAAAGGAATAATAGAATTTCATACCAAGTTGAATTCGACATAACGTCCCCTTCGGAGTTGTTGCCATGCCTTGTTTTGATCTGTGAATGGCAAATCCTTTCTCCTTTCTATAATTGGAATGTATGCATCCACCACCGAGTTTGCACATTCTGTAATAAAATTGTGTGCGAGAATGACCGTTAATTGAGGACTCTCATCAGTGGAAAAGACATAAATGCCCTCCTCACTAACAAAAAGTCGAAAATAGCCCCAGAAAATTATGATTTTACCTGTAGCAAAGGAGAGTAGCATTTCCTGATCATAGTCGTTAAGATCATCAAAAAATATGCCTCCCAGCCCTCGCCTCTCGTCTCGGTGCTGCATATTTACAAAAAATGAGTTTTTTTTTTTTTTTTTTTTTTTTTTTTTTTTTTGTGAATTCCAATGGAATTCAATTTCGTATGCATTTGCAACCAAACGCGGGATCAAAATGGAATTGAATTCCAATTCCAGCCAAATTCAATGAAATCAATAAAATCATAGAGCAAGATCCAAAGAAAAAAATCTTAAAGTGTATACCTTAATGTAGAAATAGTCATCACACCATTTCTTAAACCGTGGATAGAAACTCGGGTCAAACTTGTCACAAGCAGCTTTTTGTACCTTGAAAAGACCAAAATATGGATTTTGAAGAGAAATTGACGACTAAAAATTTGATGTCCCTTACATTTTTGTTTTTTAATACGACATTGATGTTAATTGGGATCAAAACAATAGTTAAAGAGAGAAAAAAAAAACGTATAGTTTCATATAGAGAACACCATCAAGCAAAAGTATTCAAAATAGATGTTGGTTTCGACATGTTTTTGCATACAATTGAAGAAATATAAGGGATATGTATGTCATATCATATTTTTAGCCTGTCATTTCTTTTAAAAATTTGCAATTTGGTTTTATTTGAAACGTAAATAATAATATAAGGGTTTTTCTGCATATACATATAGAATTGGTTGTGTTCTTCTGTATATATCCCTATCAGTAAACAAAAACAAGGACATTGCATTATGTGTATGGAATTGCAAGCATGTTGCTATTATGTGTTACATACATATTGCTATTATCAGTAAATAAAATGTAAGTATGATGCTATTATGAAAAAAAAACAGTAATTACCGAATGGAAGTGTCTGACATCTTCCTCGAATATATAAGCAGGAGTCAAATCAGTACCACCACCAAACCACCACTGCCTTGGTGCTCCAGGAGCATCTGTATAAAATTACAAGTAAAATATTATTCATTTAATAAAGTGTTGAATAGATAAATAATATTTGAGAAATTGAAGGCACACTTGGGGAAATGGAAGGAAAAAATAAATGAGGAGAAATTTGTAAAAAGGTAAGACTTAATGGGGAAAGTATCTTTTCCCTGGCTTTTTCTATTAAGTTGTTCTTTCTGTATTTAAGTCAAAAAGAAACATTTGTATATATAGCTTATTGGATTAAGTCATGTTATGATTACGTCCATTAAGCTAAAAAGACACAAAACCCGACAATCATATTGATCCATAGAAATACTCAAGATTTTTGGGGATTCATCTCAAATTTATTGTTGTGCTCCATCTTTTAAATGATCAAGGTAATAAAATGAATTTCTTGATATAATGCAAATAAAATGCTAATTATGAATAGTATATTTTACAAATGGCATTTTTATATGAGTATATCCAAGGGAAAAAGATTCTTATATCAAGATACATCTAAATAGAGGAAGTTCAAGCCAACAACTCATATATGCATCTTACATATACAAATGTTCTTTTCAAAGTTGAACGCATCAAAATAATGTAAAGCAATAAAAATTAAATAATTTTTGTCATGAGTCCATATCTAGAAATAATATTTCTAGTTATACAGAAACATTTGAAGGAGGATCTTACCTTTTGGAGCATCGGTTTCAAAATAACGATAATTAAAATGTAGTGTAGGTGCAAAGGGGTTCTTTGGGTGTAAAACCTGCCAAAAAACAAGGGATACCCTTTGTGATTATCCAGTAATCATGTTTAACACACTTATTATTTATAAAATTTTAAAGAAAAAAGAAGAACAAGAAACTGTTTATGCTTAGAGTTGATACAGCAGCAATAGTTGCCTATATTAATCAATATCCTGATTATTCTTACCTGAGGGATCAAAACTAATAATTGAAACTTGATATGGCAATAATTAGGTAAAACCAGCATCCAAACAACCAACATTTGTCAGAATTGTGGTAAATTTGAACGTATTTAGGGTTTGAGATCAAAATTAGAAGATTGACTTACGGAGCTGATTCCAGCAGCGAAAAATGGAACAGGTTCAGGCTTAAAGTTGCCATTTTCGGCACTATTTGCAGGCTTAGCAGCCCTATATGCTTCTGGGGGCATCACACCATAGACTACAGACACATTCACTCCAGCCTTCTCCCAAACGGCGCCGTCTTGTAAAACCCTGCTAATCCCACCGCCGCCTCCTGGCCTTGACCAGACATCCTCCTTAAACTTCCCACCTCCGTCAGCAGCTTCAATGGCAGCGCAAACGCTATCCTGCGCTTCCCTTATCATCTTCTCGAACCGTGCCCTAACTGAATTCGTCCCCACATCCTGGTTTGACGAACCACCATCGGATTCTCGGAGGAAAGTGTCGGGACGGTGTGTCTCCGCCGTCTCCTTCTCGATCATACGCGATGATGCTCGGATCAGCAGATTCTTGGTCTTGTTGGGTTTTCTGCGATTATAAGATATGGTAGTGGAGGTGGGGTTGATTAAGGCGAGAGTTGTTGGCGAAGGAGTGGAAGTGGGTAATTGGAATGCAGAGGTTGAAGGGAGTGAAGAGATCATGGTGGTCATTGTCGCCATTGTTTGGAGCTTCCACCGGCTTTAATGGTGTTGATAACGTGAAGATAGGAAAGGCTATCCGCGAAGAAATTACTTGTGGGGTACCATTGAATTCTTTGGTTTCGTTCAATACAAATAGCTTGTTGCCCACAGCCCACAGGAATTATTTGCTTTTGATATTGAAACCAAGGGAAAATGTTGGTTGTATTTCTTTATCAACTTTTGGTTTTGATTTTATATAACCAAATAAATAAACATCTTTTCTGATAATGTTATTAGCACGATACCTTTTATTCATTGGGAAAAGCAAATTTCTGTTGGGGTATGAAGGCTTATTCAACATTGAGCACTTAGGATCCACTCAACATTGAGCGCTTAGGATCCACATGGAACACTTGGTGTTGGAATGGAGCATTAGGAAGGAGAATGGAGCATTAGTGATGTGTCATGCTTCATGTTGCACCATTAGGCTGCCCGGAGTGGAGGGAGCTCCACGCGTGAAATGCTTACGTGGAGGCTCTCTCCACGCATGAACACCGCCCCTGGCTTCAGTGGGTTGGTGGTGGCGTGGCTCCTAGGACGGACGAAGACGCATACATTGATTGGTCCTTTAATTTGGACCGTTGGCTGGGTTACTAAATAAAAAAAAAAACTTTTTTTTCTTTAATTTCCTTTCTCTCTATATATATCCATCCACTTTTACACAGTTTTTGCAAAACAAACATACAAATTCTCTCAAATCAAACATACAAATTCAACAAAAAATGGATAGCGGTTCTGATAACGATTTGGTGTTGCACACACTATTGTCTGCGGCACAAGACGTGATTCGTGAGAGAGGCGAAACTTCACACCGTGAGAAGAAACATAGAAAATATATCAATCGGGATCGAGAGGCGGCACATGAACTTTTGGTATGTGATTATTTTGTCACTGATAGTCTTTATGACCTATCGAAATTCAAAGAACGTTTTCGTATTAGTAGAAATTTATTTTTACGTATAGCTTTAGATTTGAAACGTAATTATGAGTTTTTCCAATTACGATGGGATGCTAGAGGTAAACGTGGTTTTACCACAATACAAAAATGTACGACCGCTCTTAGACAATTGGGATATGGTATAACCGCAGACGCATCAGATGAGTATCTGAAAATGTCTGAGAGGACGGGTCGAGATTGTATATATCTTTTCTGTGAGTATGTTATAGAGCTTTACCGTGACATATACTTGTGACATCCGACTAAAAGTGATGTCGAGCAGTTGTATGCCGCGCATGAAGCTAAACATGGTTTTCCAGGGATGCTTGGTAGTATTGATTGTACACATTGGGAGTGAGCAAATTGTCCCAATGCGTGGCGTGGTCAATTCACGCGAGGAGATCATGGGGTCCCGACTGTTATACTGGAGGCGGTTGTTTCAAACGACCTATGGTTTTGGCATGCATTCTTTGGTATGGCGGGGTCAAACAATGACATGAATGTGCTTCACGCGTCTCCGTTATTTAACGATATTTTGCAGGGTAAAGCACCAGATATGTCATACGTTGTGAATGGAAATGAATACAAGTATGGATATTACCTAGGTGATGGCATATATCCAGAGTATGCTACATTTGTTAAGTCTTTTTCGTTTCCAGCCGATGAGAAACGAAAATTGTTCAAGTTAGCACAGGAATCTGCACGGAAGGACGTCGAAAGAGCGTTTGGAGTCCTAAAACAAAGGTAGCACATAATCAAGCATCCAGCACGAACATGGGATAGGGCAAAACTAACGACGGTGTTGACTGCTTGTGTGATTTTACAAAACATGATAATAGAAGAAGAGGGCAGAGCTATTTGTTCATATACCGGGAACGATGTACTTAACCCACCTGCAGTAATACAAGTTGGCAGCCCGGCATACTTCTCTAGGGTTTTGGAAATACAAAATCATGAGACACATCACAATCTACGGCACGATTTGACCGAGCACATATGGGGGAGACAACTCCAAGGGGGAAATGACGATGGGGACGAAGAGGATGAGGGCGATGATTACGACGAGAATGCAGACGGTGACGAAGAGGCGGATGAGGATGATGATGACGATGACGACGAGTAGTATTTGTCTACGGTTTTTATGTTTTACTTTTTTTTTTAATTAAGTAGTGTAATATTTGATTTGTTAGGTTTTATGTGTATTTTAGTAATTTAGGTTTTAAATTTCTATGTTTTTAATTAATGAAATGTGTTTTTTCTTTTTTGTGTTCTCAAAAAATTTATTTATCTTATAAATTATGTTTTTTTTTTCATATAGTGTTACAAAAAATAAAAAAAGTTATCTATTTTATAAATTATGTTATTTATTTAATATAATGTTAAAAAAATAAATAAAATAAAAAAGTGAATGTTGTTAGTGGTGACCATTTCCTATGTGGAGTGAGTTGGTGGTGAAGGTGACGTGACGCAGAGGTGACACCACTTTTTACGGTGGGTTGGTGGTGACCACTCCACATAGCCTTATAAAAAGAATGGAGTACCGGTGATTATTCTATAATTTCGGTTAATCGATTAACCAAATAAGGGGCTGTTTGATTTGATTCTGAGTCCGGTCAGTCATTTTGGCTTGATTTGATTCTGAGTCCGGTCAGTCATTTTGGCTTGACTTGGTCTGGGTTAGTGTGTTTGATTCATATAGAATCAGACGCTCTGGATAACTCTGTCAGTTGTTTTCCTCTGCCTCGGTGCACCTAAAAAGTGAAGCTGACTAGAAAGAGAAACTCCTTTTCCCATTTGGCCCTTCTCCTTCTCTTTGAACGGAGTTCACTCAATCCTCTCCATCGTATCTCTCTCGATCATCTTCAGTCTTCAACATCGCCGACCACCTTCTCCATCGACGTTCTCTCCACCACCGGCTACCTCCTCCACCGCTGTCCTCTCCATCGCATCTCATTTGGGGTTTCTGATCTCTCGCAACAATTTATTGATATTGAAAAGAAAAGTAAGGTTTATAATTTCTCAACCGATTGAATTCTTCATGTATGATTTTTATATTGAACGTTTTTAAGATAATCGTGAAACTATCTTATATGAATCGCATCTTACTTTCTCTAATTAATCTGATTAGATATTCTTGGAATTAAGAGTATGATGATTCATGGTGATTAGTGATTATTGGATGATGAAAATTATGTTTAATAGTTTGATGAAATTTGAAGAAATATGAAACAATTTGAAGTTCATGGTTATTGCCCGTGTTTGATCTGAAAATGTATGTTTGAAACTTTGATTTGGTGTTTGTTGAATTGGAACTGTGAATTGGTTAAGTAAATTCAATTGTCTTGGTCAAATAAGATTATGTTTCGATTGGTTCAAAATATTATGAATGAAACGAAAGCCATGAATTGAGGGTCAAAAGAATTATTGAATGGGTGTGTGAATTTATGACTTTTGGAATTGTAGATATGTTTGACATTAATTTTGGTTTTAAATGTTCAATGGTTTATAAACGTTTCTTTTTTTACTTTATGCAGCTTATTGATTAAGTTCAATGAAGGATGGCAGCTCCAGGAGACTAGGTTAATGAAATTGTCTGACAAGTACAAGGAATTAGTTCATGAATACATCAGTTCAATGGAAACAAAATCACGAAATGTTGTGAGACATGGGATTGTGATGCTACATGATTGGTTATTAAACATTTGATTGACATTGATCTTGAGCAACAAAAGAGAAAATGAAATGCAATGTAATTTCGGTTTTGGATTTCCATACAAAGTATTTAACTATTTATGCATTATGTTCCCTAGATTAATGATAATGTTGTCATTGATTTCTTTTGAAGGTTTTGGTCATTTGATAATATTTGAATCACACTGTGAAGAACAGAAGATGGAAGCTCTTTTAAGCATGAACATACGATAAGATGGAAACTCTTTGATTTGTTTGTTATAATATTCTATTGTTATTTATTCTTATACAACATTGTATTTTAAATAAGTTTATGAGATAGTTGATAACTTTTTTTCAATTCTTTATAAATTTACATTATTTGTTCGATATAAGATAGTTGATATTTTTTTTGCTCAAGTTGATAGATTTTATTTAGCTTTTTAGCACAAAATAAAAGAAAACAAAATAGAAAGGTAAAATGGTCATTTTTAGCATTCAACATAATCAGTCAGATGCGTAATCATTAATCAACAATATGGTTTCAGTTAGAAGCAGATGCAGTCAAGGTTCTCACCCAGACTCTGACTCAGTCAGATCTTACCCGATCAACAACTAGTCAATAGGGTTTTAGATTAATATTTTTATATTTTATTTATATTGACAAATTAATTATTTTAAAACCTAAACTTTTATTTTGTTTATGTTTGATTGAACTTTTTTGAATCAAAAAAGAAGTCTAACATGACGTTTACAAAGATAAGTAAGTCGTATATAAAGATAACAACTATAAAAATATGATTAAAATGTAAACTACTATTAATTGATAAATTAAGTCGAGACGTTTAGAATTATTTTAGAATCCAAACTATAAGTGTATTTATGTTTTATTTAACTTTTTGAGTTAGAAAACAAGTCAAGCATGACTTTTATAATGATAAATAAGTTCTAAATAAAACTTTTCTTTATAAAATGCAAACTATATTCATTCAATTAAATAAGTCCAACTAACATGACGTTTACATTTTTTTTAAACCAAACTTTTTGTTTATTTATGTTTCATTTAACCTTTTTACTTAAAAAACAAAAACAAGTACAACTTGCCGTTTACAATGATAAATAAGTTCTAAATAAAAATAATAAACATAAAATTTTGAAGTACTGAACAATAAATAATTACTAACTTCTCAATGTATTGTAGTGTGGATCACCATAAGCAATCATTTCTTCAACGATGCAAACTATATATACATATATATTCCCCAAACCAATTTATATATATTGTGTTCAACTTTTTGGGTAGAGATGGTGAGGTAGTCGTGGTTTCGCAATGACAACAAGTGGCTCAGCCAAGGCAAGGTCGTCATGATTTTCAACAAGATTAACACCCGACTCATTTTGTGGCAACTCCCAGCTGAACCCTTGAACCATTCTAGCCAACATCATTGTAGTTATTGTTGAACCCAATGCCACTCCTGGACAGTCTAGTCTCCCAGTGCTAAACGAAAGCATTCTCAGGTCATTATCTGAAAGAACCACTTGCTTTCCTTTTGCATCAAGATGTCGATCTGGGTCAAACCACATTGGATCTCTCCATACATTTGGATTTCGTCCCAGCCCAGGACGACTAAGCAAGACGTGGCTACCCTTGGGTATGAAGTAACCAGCAACTGTGGTATTCCTCATCGAAACATGGGGAATATTGAAAGGTGGGAAAGGATGTAGCATGAAGGCCTCCTTGATGCACGCTTTAATGTAATTAAGTTGAGGAAGGTCTCTCTCTTCTACCAGACGGTTGTGACCCACTTCTTCGTCCAGCTCCGCAACGACTCTTTTTAGGATAGTAGGGTCATTGATCATCTCTGCCATCGCCCATTCTTTGCATTGGAGGGATTATCAATCGCAGCTAGCATTAATTCCTAAAATTAGACAAGCCACCAAGAAAACACCAAAAGTAAATTAAATTGAAGAACCACTCATATGAAGAGATTAACTTCTCCAACATTTGGTATGTTTTTTGAAACAAATATTTATGAAAGTCACTAAGATTTGCATGTGAGTCTTACTAAAATACGGGCCTTGATCTCTTGATCTGTAAGCTTAGGGCTTTCATGGTTAATAAGGACATCAAGCACATCCTTTTTTACCTTTCGCACCCCATCTTTCCACATTTGAATCCGTTCATCAATCAACGGATCTTGGTACTTACGAACTCTTTGAATGGCCGTTCTGATAATCTTTTGATGGCCCTCAAAATCAGTCTTACCTCTCAACCACGGGAAGAAATCACTGATGGAAAATGTATAAAGATACTTGAGGATAATGAAAACAGACGCGACATGTTCAGTTTCTTCTTCACCTGGCCCCCCATCTTCCATTCCAGCCCCAAAGAATCTTGTCCCAAAAATCATCATCCTTATCAAATTTCCAAAATAATGTTGGCTCGTGTTTCGAATATTTACTAACCCACCGTCAGTTAGGGTATCCTTTTTTCTATTTGATTGTAAATGTAGCTAAGCAAGTGATTGGCTTCATCGTCTCGTGTAGGTTGGAGCCATTTATGCATTGGTGGGGCGAGTACATCATGGATCAGGATTGTTCTCATCTTCTTCTATTGATTCTCATTAGGGAAAAAACAGTTGTTTTATACCTGTCACTTACCAGATAAGTTGATAACGTTTCAGGCCTGGAAGAAAATACTACATCTTGCTTTCGCATAAACTCGCATGCTAGATTTGGACTGGAGACTGCAATGACATGGGTCGATGGTCCTAGCTTGATGCAAAGTATTGGGGTATTAAACTGGTCGATGAGTTTATGGATCCATCGGAAAGTTGGTCGATTTAGAAGCATTTGAATGGTGCAACAAATGAATGGTAAGGGAGTTGGCCCAGGTGGTAATCCTGGTTGGTTGCTTGTAGTTTTGTTGATAACATACTTGCGGAAGAAGATGAAGATGATGATGATAGCTGAGACGCTGACCACCTGAATAGCCGGTGATGAAGACCAAGAAGGATGCATTTGAATGGGAAACACAATTTGGGTTGACCTTATTATTGCTAAGAAGTTATACATGAATTGAGATGCACAGTATGATGATCGATGGTTATGATCTACTCTTGGGTGCAAGTTTTAGGTGATACATAGTCCAAATATTTTACCAAATTTGATCAAGATTCAAGAATTACAAAAATACCATAAACAATAAAAATGGAAGTGGGACCTTTTCGTCTACATAATAATTTGATAACCCTACAAACATATGGTCTAACAAAGAACACATCTCATTTGAAGTCTTAAAAAAATTTGTTCTAAGGGCATGCATGTTTAAAATGATATTCGTCCCAAGCATGAATTGTTATTTATGATACTAAGGCATTGTTTAACGTGCTAGGTGATAATTGTAAAACTGATCGATAGCTAAAAAACTAACTGATAATTGAAAAGTTAACCGATAAAAAATTACTTTGGTTGAAACTAGCTGATAAGCTAGCTCCAAAACGTAAAATGACATAAAATAACATGTAAAAAATGTTTCCTTATTATGAGACAAATATATAATATATTAAATTAAATTAAAGTAAATATTAAATACTATTTCCCCGATTATTTATATTTAATTCAAATATTTTGCACCCCATATTATATTTGCAATACTATCACGAATTTCTCGCATCGCATGTCGTAACTCTCAAATGTTACCATGCCTAAATCTTGAATGATCCCCTTGTTCTTCGGTAGTTATGTAATTACTATGTTGTTAAAAAAAAGTTGAAAATCCTATCTATAGAGTCATTCCTTCGAATATAGTTATGTAGGGTAAATGTTGTCATTATCACGTCTATTTGAGTTTTCTCAGTAAACCTTGGCATTTTGTTCAATAATTTCCACCTCTTCTTCAACACTCCAAATGAACCCTCAATACAACTTCGAAGAGATGAATGTGCAAAACTGAACACCTCTTGAGCTTTGGTTCGAACCACCCAAAGCCATAAAACAGGAAGTTGTGCACGATCATGCAATTGCTTTTACATGATCCTCTGAAGTACCTGGAACATAAACTAAAACTGTAAGCCAAAGCTTAGTGAGTTCCCCAAAAGTAACACTACACAAACATATAATCAAGCATATAGCGGGTCCACAACCTCCTTGTTGGATTACCCCTGGCCCACAACCTAATGGTTGGAATGCCCCGGCACACAACCTTACGGTTGGAATGCCCAATACATAACGGGTCCACAACCTCCTGGTTGGATTACCCCCGACCCACAACCTTCTGTATGGAATGCCCAATACATAACGGGTCCACAACCTCCTGGTTGGATTACCTCCGGCCCACTACCTTCCGGTTGGAATGCCCCGGTCTGTTAACTTACAACACAAAGCAGTACAATCTCAACCACACCTACCATGTCGACATGCGCATAACAAATAACATATATCCAACAACAGATAATCATACAACCAGTTAACAGACTAGCAGATAGATCTACAGATCACTAATGTATAACAACATCCTAGGTACCAGGACACATAACTAAAGGGGACGACATTGGTGTCTTCAACCCTTAAGAACAGTAAGGAAACTCACCTCACAGTTTGATGAATACCTGAACAATACACTGCTCCGAATACTGGCTCTACAAGTCACCTATTCAATAGATAGAGACCAAGGCTTAACTATAGCTCAAAATACCCAAAATACCCTTGTAGCACCCGATTCGTGGTACGCACTTAATTCAAAGTATTTTATGTTTTTCTCTGGGACTCGACGAGTTGGAGGCCCAACTCGTCGAGTAGAGTCGGGACCCGCGGACATTTTAAGTGACCTACTCGACGAGTCGGTAGACTGACTCGGCGAGTAGGTGTTGTTTGAGTGAAACCCTAATCTAAGGGATTGCACCCTATTTAAGCATCTCATTCGGCCTCCCTTCGTCCCTATTGCTCTCAGAACTCTCCATATCAAACCCTAATCGTTTGTGTAAAGATCTAAGGCTTTTGTGGTGGTTTTTGGTGATTTTGGAACATAAGAAGGAAGAGAAAGGCTTGAGGAATCAAGAGGAGGCCAGAGGAGTTCGAGTTTGTGCACCCTCTGCAGTTCTTTAGAGGTATACATCTGATACCTTGCTCTTTCATGTTTTAGATCCCTTTTTGGGGTGATTTAGGGCTTTTAGGAGCCATTCTTGGTGACCAATCATGAGTGCAAGCATGGTTGGGGGCTAAGACTTCAGATCCAAGGTCTTTAAGGGGTTACAAGGCAGAAAAGGATTGATTTTGGAGCCTTAGAGAGCCCCATGCATCTTAAGAGTCTCATTTAGGGCCATTTGAGCTCATAGTCCCTTGCATGCACGTAAAGTTTGTAACTTTACGTGCTAGATCGATCTTAGAAGCCTAGATATATCTTTTGGTCTAGTGTTGTACATCAGAAATCGAGAAATGAGACTTGGTTATTCTCGACTCGGCGAGTCGTTCTTGGGACTCGGCGAGTCCATGGCTTGACTTCCCTTTTCTGTTATGGTTCGAAGGAACCCAGGGAGTGTTAGAGTGGTCTTAGAGGGGTCCAGGGGAGTGACCCAACGAGCCATAGACCTGGAAATCATAGGACTCGGCGAGTCCAAGGCAATCTCCCACTTTCGAAGATGAACTCGACGAGTTGCTCATACAACTCGGCGAGTCAAGGGCAGGACCTGTTCATTGGATGGAGATGAACTCGACGAGTTGTTCATACAACTCGGCGAGTCGGATGAAGGTTCATTCGAGGTTGTTTTAGAAGGAGAACTCGTCGAGTCGTTGCCAAACTCGACGAGTAGAGGCGTGAAGAAGGCATATGAAAGGATAGGGACTCGACGAGTTGGCGGCCCAACTCGGCGAGTCGGGTCAACTGGATGTTGACTTTGACTTTGACTTGGTCAGGGGTAAAATAGTCATTTTACCCTAAGAGTAGTTATCAGTTTCTGATTAAGTGTTTTATGGATTTATAGCCAGAGGATCGCCGGAGCAGCAGTCAGACATCTGCCGATCAGCTTTTCTGCAGTCAGCCTTACGAGGTGAGTTACCTTCCAGCAGTGGTGGGTCTACGGCCACAATGCCGGTCCACCAGTAGGAGTTGTATGTAGATGATCGTCTTTGTGATATCATCTAGGTTTGCTACTACCTGATATGTTATATGTTGGCATGATATGTTATATGAGATATTAGTAGAGTTCGGATGTTAGGACCGAAGGGTAGGTCGGACAACCAAGATATGTCTGACAGTATGTTATGATATGCTTATATGCTGGCATGATATGTTATATGTGATAGAGGTAGTAGGGGGGAATAGTCCCCAAGTTCGGTTGTTAGGACCGAAGGGTAGTTCATACACCCCAGATATGTCTGGTAGTATGTTTATATTATGATATATGTGATAGTAGCAGTAGGGGGTGGAATAGTCCCCGAGGATTGGTTGTTAGGACCAATGGGTAGGTCAGCACCCCAAAATGGCTTGACACGGGTAGGTCAACACCCCAGAATGACTTGACACGGGTAGGTCGGCACCCCAGAATAGCCGTACCGGGTAGGTCGGGCACCCCAGAATTGCCCGGCAGTATGTATGCTATATGATTGTATGGTATATGGTAGGATGGGGGAACTCACTAAGCTTCGTGCTTACAGTTTTCATTTTTGTTTTAGGTACCTCTTCAGCAAAGGGGAAGGAGCCGGCGCGGTAGCTGCACATCATACACACATTGGATTCCGCCTTATGAGATTTCTTGGGATTGTACTCTGACATTGTTACTACTTTTATGATATGATTTTCATACATGAGATTATGGTTTTATGAAATGATATGACATGATGATGTTTTATGATAAATGTTTTCTAAATTGTTATATCAAAATTGAAATTTTTGGACTCAGAATTTGGGATGTTACAAGTTGGTATCAGAGCCTTGGTTTGAGGGATTCAGACACACCCTCGGGAGTGTCTAGACTCAAACCGATGGATTAAAAGATTTTTACAAAGAAAATGGTTTTCTAAAATCTAAGTTAAAGAGTTTTGAGAAAGAACGAGGTGTGTGATGTGCGCGACCGGCCGAGCTCAAGTAAGTTTTCCCCAAAGTACCCATACAAGTTTATGTTATGATTATCAGCTAGTAGATCTGCATACTAGATTAGAGCTAAGGATCTAGGAAGATGCCTTATATTCCTATTGTATGTGCTTGCTGAGCTGCATGATAGTACTGATCAGTTAGAGATAGGATAGCCTGTTTAGGTTATGCCTGATTATATGAGCTTACATCGCATGCTAGTACAGATTCTTGTTATGTGCATAGAGTTGCTTGAGTTGTTCCCTTCTTGTCTGAATGTTGTTTGCTTTGTGCTTTGCGGGACTCTGGGTAATGGGAGTTAGCTATTAGGTGAATACGTTAAAGTCACATGCAATCAGGGTTGAATAACCTTAGAGTATTGGATTTGACCCTATTGCGTAGCTCTTGTCTGAGTCTTAACCGTAGGAGGGATGAGTCCCTTACTCGAAGGATTATCCGAGCCTCGTTGCATGTGATAGTATTCAGGTGGTAGCTAATTGGCATTACGAAGAGGACTTCAGCAGCTGAGGTCCGATTGGAGTCGGAGATTTCCCTAGGGTAAGCCTAGGATGAAGAGTAGCAGAGAACATTAGTAGTAGAAAGGACTTGGTGGAGTCAAGGCAGTTCTTGAGGAAAGTACGGATAGATGTGGAAGGTAGTATGGGCCCGTACTACTGAAAGCAGAGGATCCGCACTTAAGTCAAGGAAGGCTGAGACAAGACCAGGGAACTTGTGGTAGATGTGATCCCTCTAGATGTGATCCCTCTAGATAAGTCAAGGTAGTATGGTGGTACTACACCCTAGACCAGCAGTTGGCAGTTCAGGAGAGGGATCAGGTTCGGGTTCGGGTTCCGAACCAGTGGATGAGAGGCTACGCGAGTTTATCGCGTCAGAGATTACTAGAGGCATCCTTGATGCGACCCCGGTTATCTTTGGGTCGATCAAGGAAGGG